GGCCTACAAAAACGGCATCCCCTTTGCTTTTTTGCATTGAAAACGAAGTTCAGCCTGTCTCTGAACGATCTGTGCTAGGTCCTGATCCAAGTCTTTTCCATGAAATAAGTTTCATTGTGTTCAGGACATCTCTGACAACACGCTGTAGTGCTCTTATTTTTATTTTGTGGGACATCAAAGTATTTAAATAAGCTCAAGAAGGATTTTTTGACTAGTTATTCATTGGGCCTTATTATATTTGGCTAGATTCCAAACTAGGAAAAAAAGGTAATTGATAGAAGAAGGTGCAAAAACTTTGAGGAATAAAGGGGAATTTCATTCCGAAATCAACCTTTTTTTGAAAAGCACCTTTCTTATTTGTGATTTGGCGGCATCGTAGGCGAGGACGGCACCTCTTAGAAGTATATGTGCAAGTCTGCCCAGTTTTCACTTTTTGACAAATGGTCTTTGGACCGTTATCATACTTTGCTCTTACTGTACAGCCACATCTTACCCAGAGCATGGCGTACGAGAACATCAGAATTACATTCATTTGGATTTACCATTCTTTTGGAGTGACTGGCTTTTCATGACCATGCTTCTAACGCCTGTTCCAAATGATTTATCAAGATGTCGCTTCTTGTAGCCGTACTTGACCCATTTTCTTCTATAAATACTAGCAAAGAAAGCAAAGTAAAACGCCTTTTTGCAAACCCAACAGTTTTGGGGTATTCACCTGATAAGTCTTTCTGCAGCGCAGCTTTGGCGAAGTGGCTTCTAACGGGGCTGACACCTAAGGACCCGCTGATAATTTTGAAGCTTGCGATTTGCCCTGGAACCCCTTTTGCACTGCTCACCTAGATGATATCAACACCCTCTAGGACATTGCAAAATACCCTCTAGGACAATTCTCTAGATCTGAACATTTCGAACCAGTCTAGCCTAATATCAAAGAAATGCAGCCTTAATCTGTAGCCAAAACTACGCACAATGGTTGCTTCTCTACTGCCTTACGTTCAAATTTGAGCTTACAAGGAAAGGATGGCTGGCCGAAGTGGTTTTTTGAGATGGGATGTACACCATCTTGGAGGACATGCAACGGTGATTCCAAACCTGTCTTCCCTATCTGCGGAGCATTCATGCACCAGGAGTTATGAGCGTCTATTAGAGCAAAAAATTGAGTGGTTTTCAAGTATAAAATTAACTGCTAAAATTTTCCTAGCGCTCTGAGGCAATGGAGCGTGGGTTAATTTTATATAAAAAGTATGTAGTGCATAAAGCGCTTTGTTGATTATCACTGCTCCATTTAAGCGCTAGAAAAAGCCCACGACTTTTGGCCTACTTCCACTTTCATTGTTTTGCTCCAATAAAAGCTACAACTCCTCGATACATTTGCAGTAAGCCCTTTCAACCCATTGACGCTTTCTCAAAATATGGCGCCAATATGAAGGGTAAAGCGAGAAAACTTTCCGAATGTTCTAATAGTTCAAATATTTTTTGTGTTATCGTTATCTCGGTTCCGGCTCAATAACACAAAACAATGTTCATAAGCATCCATGTTCGACTATCCATGAATCTTGGCATAGTTGCAATCTTCTCGTTAATTGCTTGAGCGTACTCCAAGATTGGTACAGAACTTTATCGCACAGAATAACAGACTAACGTTTCGGCGAACTCGCCTTCTTCAGAGTCTGAAAAAGTCGAAGACACATAAGTAAACTATCCGATCAAACACCTCGTCGACTACAGAAAAGAGCCCAACCCTTTAAGAAAAACAACAGCCTCAACCAAAACTAAGATTAAGCTAGTGCTCACCTTAGCAGATGAAAATTTGGTGGGTGCAGACCACTATGTCAAAAAGCTGTACTGCTTTACTTTTATACTTAACTAGTGACCCGGCTCTGACCTGACCCCATTATTCAAAAGCCACAGAGGCTCTGATATGGCGACAGCTCGTTAGTAATGGCTAGGCACTCGTCCTTCCGGTTGATTTTTGGATTTTGGGCGGCTATCCAAAACGCTTCGAGTGTCTTGCGCGCTAGGATTTCGGGTTCACGCGCCAGGATTCGAACCTGCACCGCCACCTCCGCGTCGTCATGGCTGAGCCTGCGATGCATGCCTAACGGAGTAGCTGCGTTGCCCTTGCTGAGACCATCTAAGTGTTCTTTGATGCGCGTGCATAGGGGGCGACCCGTCTCGCCAATATACGTGTCTCCACATGATGTACACGTGATAAGGTAGACAACACCTGATACCATACAGTCTCCTTCCTTTCCGTATGGACAAATCACACAATTAGGAGTTGTACAGAGACGATCATACTCCCGGTTTCGTACTAACTGCTGTTTAAGGTTTGCGGGCGGAATGTCGACGATCCTTACCATATCGTTGAGGCCTGCTTGATGAAGTAATCTGCGAACAGCCCTACTAAACTCTTCTGAGATATATGGCAGGCAGAATGGGATCTGATCATCAGCTCCCGATCTAGGCAGTGTACGATGGACTCGGTATCTGTAAGGGTGACGAGTTTTCGTGCTGTATCCATTAGATCTTGCTACTGATTCTGCGAGCTCCAGCGAACGCATCTTCTCGTCCTTATCAGAAGAGACCCCTGCAGCCATTCTAAACATGTTCCCCACGATGGAGGCCTTTATTCGTGCGGGATGTGCTGAAGAATGGTGTACTAAGACGCCAAAAACACCAAAATAGTAATTTAACACTTTTGCAACGCCGCGGCCTGCGCGAAATTCGCGACCTTTGTGCTGCAGGGGAGATCAAGGTGTCGGTCAGCGACAAAGGAGGGGAGTTTGTGATTCTTTCTCGTGATCTGGATATGGCGATCACCAAACACCATCTGCAGGATATTACCGCATACGAGCCTGTGACAGAAAACGATTTCAGGAAGCAATATCGTCGCTTAAACAGGATATGGTTAGACGTAGCTAAAGCTGAGGGCATTCCTAGGACTATCGCTTCACGTTTAAAGACCGATTTGCCTATGTGTCCGGTGCTTTACACTCTAATCAAGACACATAAAGTGCCTATTGATAGTTTAACGTCCAATAATCCTCAAGACTTTAAGGTGAGGCCTATCATCAGCAGTGTTGGAGGTCCTACGGATAGGATTTCGTGGTTTCTCAGTACTATTCTCTCTCAACTGCTAAGATTTGTCCCCGCACACCTCTCCAACACCAGAATGTTTCTTGATCGTCTCCGCAACACCAATGTAAGGCAAGGGTGCGTCTTGGAGTCTTTCGATGTGGAATCGCTCTATACCAACGTCTCCAACGACGCCGCACTGAAGAAGCAGTGGTATCAACGCAGAGTACATCAGTCGTCACTCAATCTTTATGGTCTTAGCATCAGAGGCATCTTGTCGTTGGTCAAAGAATGTCTCAACTGCTCCATATTTCGTTGGTGTGGAAACTATTACAGGCAGATTAGAGGATTGGCTATGGGACAGAGACTAGCGCCGACCTTGGCTATTGTTTTCATGTCAAAGGTGGAAGCCCCAGTTTTGGCGAGCAAGCCTCTGCTCTACTGTCGGTACGTGGACGACTGCTGTATCGTATGTCCTACCCAGGCCGAACTTGATGCGTGCTTCAATATCATGAATGCCCAGGACATTAACATCAAGTTGACGAGGGAGAAACCGAAAGATGGATGGCTGCCGTTCCTCAACGTACAGTTATGTTTATCGAACAGGGGTTTCAAGACCAGATGGTACCGAAAGCCTAGCAGCAAAAACATCTTAGTACACCATTCTTCAGCACATCCCGCACGAATAAAGGCCTCCATCGTGGGGAACATGTTTAGAATGGCTGCAGGGGTCTCTTCTGATAAGGACGAGAAGATGCGTTCGCTGGAGCTCGCAGAATCAGTAGCAAGATCTAATGGATACAGCACGAAAACTCGTCACCCTTACAGATACCGAGTCCATCGTACACTGCCTAGATCGGGAGCTGATGATCAGATCCCATTCTGCCTGCCATATATCTCAGAAGAGTTTAGTAGGGCTGTTCGCAGATTACTTCATCAAGCAGGCCTCAACGATATGGTAAGGATCGTCGACATTCCGCCCGCAAACCTTAAACAGCAGTTAGTACGAAACCGGGAGTATGATCGTCTCTGTACAACTCCTAATTGTGTGATTTGTCCATACGGAAAGGAAGGAGACTGTATGGTATCAGGTGTTGTCTACCTTATCACGTGTACATCATGTGGAGACACGTATATTGGCGAGACGGGTCGCCCCCTATGCACGCGCATCAAAGAACACTTAGATGGTCTCAGCAAGGGCAACGCAGCTACTCCGTTAGGCATGCATCGCAGGCTCAGCCATGACGACGCGGAGGTGGCGGTGCAGGTTCGAATCCTGGCGCGTGAACCCGAAATCCTAGCGCGCAAGACACTCGAAGCGTTTTGGATAGCCGCCCAAAATCCAAAAATCAACCGGAAGGACGAGTGCCTAGCCATTACTAACGAGCTGTCGCCATATCAGAGCCTCTGTGGCTTTTGAATAATGGGGTCAGGTCAGAGCCGGGTCACTAGTTAAGTATAAAAGTAAAGCAGTACAGCTTTTTGACATAGTGGTCTGCACCCACCAAATTTTCATCTGCTAAGGTGAGCACTAGCTTAATCTTAGTTTTGGTTGAGGCTGTTGTTTTTCTTAAAGGGTTGGGCTCTTTTCTGTAGTCGACGAGGTGTTTGATCGGATAGTTTACTTATGTGTCTTCGACTTTTTCAGACTCTGAAGAAGGCGAGTTCGCCGAAACGTTAGTCTGTTATTCTGTGCGATAAAGTTCTGTACCAATCTTGGAGTACGCTCAAGCAATTAACGAGAAGATTGCAACAAAACAATGTCCTCAAAGTACTCTCCGGGAGCCATATTAGGTTCAATAGCCCCTCGCCTTCTGTGTAGCGGCTAAAGAAAAAATAACCTTACACAGATTGCCGACGTCTGAATCGCATGATTTTTCTGACCAATGCGAATTCTGTGATATTACAAGATCTGAACCTGTGTTACAAAAGAATTTATTTCTATACACAAGTAAAGGGACACAGTTGTATTGCATTACGTCTTAAGAATGTCGAAAGAAATCACCGTTGACGAGTACCATCACAGAGGTGAGAATAGAATTTACAAATGAGAAAGTCACTCGAGAGGTTCTAAATTTACAAGACAAAGAAGTCATGAGCTGCTCAGTTGTCCAATACAAGCCATCGATGTTGTGTGGTGGAAAGTTTAGGGTCACCCAATGGTTCACGAACTCGAATTTTCACTGTGAGAAGCCCTCCTACGGCTCTGCGGCCTTCCTTCAGTGGTAGTGATTCTTCCAGTAGAGCACTTGATTCTAGTTGTTCGAGTTTCCAGTCGCAGGTTCCGAGCAGCTTATCGCTTCTCAGAAAACCTCCTTTCTGATAAACCTGAAGCAAATGACCAAGTTGCTGATGAGATGTATAAGTTTGGCAGTTTCAAATAGTATTTGACTTTGACATAAGATATGTTTTTGCGTCAAACTACATCCGCCGTTTCTCAAATTCACCATTACTTCCCTGTCCGTCTTGCCTTTCTGCTTTGATTTTTTTTCACAAATTTTTAAAATTTCTGATTTCTATGTATATTGCCCAAGCAGACTGCTTTATAACTATCCTGATGTGCGATATGCGCTGACAATTTTTAAGTTTTCAAATTATTTCAAGCTTACCTCGAATTTTAGAGGAGCTCTTTTCAACAGTCGATGGAGTTTATGACCTCTTGCCTTTTTTGAACCAATTTGCAACATAGCCATTTCATCAAACTCTGAAGAAAGGCGTAATCTGGCACAGCAGTTCTTGGAATGTACACGACTTTAAACTGTCTCTAATTTCACCTAACCTCTCAAGACTAAATTTTATCATGCTGTCACAAAAGTAACCTCCTTTTCTAAAATCAAGATGTTTTTGTTTTTCTAGCGGAATAGGGAACATCTGATAGAGCAAAGCAAGTTCTACAAAATGACCATCAAAGACCTGCGTAAGGCATGATTCAGATGAAGTTTGCAGCCAAAAAAATCATCTCCTAAAAATTGGATATTGGCGAAAATCTTATGGACCTCCAACTTGGCCATATAGCAGACACACAGTAGTACTCAAAAATGCCTCTAATGGATTTTTTCCGCACATAGAAAGCTAGAAAAAAGAACTTCCAAAAATGAACAACTTCGCCCCAGCCCTCCCACGAATGGATTGTATACTACAAGCCTTAGTAAACATAGCCCTAAAATCTGTGTATGAGCTAGTAATCGAAAAAATACCAGATCTAATATTTAAAAAAATCGAAAAAAATGACACTCTCGGTCTACTTTGATTTTTGACTTCAAACCCCGCGAAAATCCAATCCACCAAAATCAACTAAATTTTGAGTACTACTATGTGTCTACTGTATAATGGAGGTCCGAAGTCCAATGACCAAGGTGGTCATTTTGTAAACTTGCTTCGCTCTATCAAATGATACCTCAAGTCTGCTAGGAAAACAAACACAGCTTAGTTTACTTGAAGAGGGGGGTCACTTAACAATCTAATAGCTGAAGATGAGATGATAAAAAAAATAATGACACGATGGCTTGACCGCTACATAACGACAAGCGAAGAACGCAATTCCAAAGTTCCACAGCGATAAGAAAGAAATGTGGTCGCACATACCGGGATTTTGTGTTCCATAAACGTGCTTTGTCTTTCCACTTTGTACCGCTTCAGATGGATAAGGGAATGTAAATTTTACAAAAAGATCCGCGTCAGAAGGCTCATATCCCGATGGAAGAGGAACATCTCTAAATAAGAAAGCGTTGTGGGCGATCATTCCCAACATCCAGTTTGCGCAACTGAAGAATGAATACGAATAAATGCGAACCAACCGACAACGTATAATTGACAACTCCAAGACATCTTCAGCGAGGTCAGGAAAGAGATCGGCAGACGGAATGTGACGCATTTCATAATGGAATCTCAAAAAAAAAAAACACTCATTAGCGAAGACAGCAAGCGCTGAAAACACAAAACGTACTGTGGCAGCCTCAGTCCTTGCTTTGCTACTTCACGAACAAGTAACAGGTCTTGTTTTGCTGATCTAGCCCAATCTTCGAATAGTTTGACCTGTAGATAGTACCGGATAAAGAAAAGAAGAATAGCACATGTAATGAGACTACAACTGGATATTCAATACTACTCAGATTTTCAAGAACGAGTCAGATCAGGACGCTATTCAAAACTGGAGACAGATTCCAGGCAATCTTGATGGACATGGAAACAGCTAGATTTTATATTAGAAAAATCTCAAAAAGCAAAAATTGGAGGGATTCGCTGAGGATAGTTGTTCTGTTGATTTGTAAAAAAAAAATACTTAATTGGGAATCTATTCAGACGAATGTATCGCTCACCTTTCCGACATCTCCTAGCCTCGTGAAACGCATGCGGCTATTTTCAGCCAATTGTACTTGCTCGATTAAGGCCTTCTCCATTAAGGCAAGGGCTTCTCCTCGTCCTAGATCAGCTCAAGTCTATTGTACTTACTACATAAAGTGAAGTACTACGAAGTCAGATAATATCGACAACGTAGATCTCAAATAACTACAAAGTCTGAACAGACCTTCGATCCCAGTCGTGCTGCTTGATCCTGCTGACACAATTCTTGGCTGAAGAGTTGTTTGTGACGTCGTTTCTTGTGGAGGAATTGGGGTAGATCTGATTGAAACTGGCAGACCTGCTCTGGCAGCAGCAATCATTTTGTCAAACCCCTAGAATTAACCAATTCATTGCAAAAATGCAAAGCATGCAAGGAATATAGCAGTGAAAAAGAATAATTGGTCATATATACAAAGCGCCAAACACTTGAACTATACACACCTTTGATTCCAGTAGATACTTCTTTGCCAACTCCATGTTGCCCTTAGCTTTTGCTTGCATCGCAGCATGTCTGAACTCGCTCTGCCGTTGTATGAGAAACTCCAGCTGAGTAGAATTCCTCGATTTTCCTGGCTGGCCGGTCGGTGCCAACGGCCCAACAGCTGGTGGAGGACGTACTAAAAGTTATGATTGTTATACATGAGCGTGGTTCCAAAAACCATACTTCCGGGAGCAGGTCCTGATGGAGCCATTGCGGGTCTTTGAGGTGGCAGTGGTGGCATGTCAGGCGTAGATGGAAGTTCAGCCACAGCGACTGGTCGTCCAGCTTTAGCATCACGAATTGCCGCTGCATACTGTTCAACCATTCTCATATTCATCCTGCAACACGTATCTACATTCTTTTGAGTGTGAAAAGTTGTCTGCGCAAACCTAGCCCTCCTATCGTTTCCCTCCTGTTTTGCTCTCTGTGCAAGTTCTTGGAAACGTTGCATACGACTTTGCAGTGCGCCCAAAAATGATGTTGGTTTGGGTTGTGTCACAGCAGCAGATACAGCAGATACAGAAGCCTCCTTTCTATATGGAGGTGGAGACGGCGGAATTTCTGACATGTCAAGTTCGTCAGGGTCGGCAGTATCGAGAGCAGCTAACGCCTCAAAAACATGCTAAGAATGAATATGTTCGGAAAAGCTGGGTACTTTCAATACAAAGATGGACACGACAACAAGATCATTAAAAAAATAAAAATCCTGCTACAAACTAAAAACAAAAAAAATCCAAAAAAATACAACAGGACGGCAGTGGTAAAACAATACCTGGTCAAACAGTTTAGCCGTCTCCACATAATGTTTGGCTGCTGGTTTGTCCATGGCAGCAACAGCCGCCTTAAAAATTTTGACTATTTTTTTTTCACCATGAAATCCACTAAACTCACTTTTCCATTTGCCACATATTCATTTCTTCGCCTCTTCAACACAGTCAAAATCTTCTGCTTTTTCTCATCCGCGCTAGCCTATAAAGTTTATAAACATGGGCTGATTCGAGCTCAGTGAACCATCACCTTACCGTATGTGTAGGTGGAACAGATGAAGATGATTCACGCCTAGGTATTGGTGGTGGTGGTGGTGGCTGTATTCCTGATCCTGAAGGAACATCCGATGCAGAAGAAGTGCGCTTCGGCACTGGAGGTGGTTGCAGCGAAGGGGCTGAGACAGGAGACTGCTAAAGTTATAGTTAAGAAACGATAAAAATGAGCAAATTCACATTAAACTCACGGCAGGAGCAGGCTGAACGAATGATGGAGGAGTCGGAGGTATCTCTGCTTCATCAATTACTAGACCGCGTTCCGCTTTGGAAATTAGCTCTTTCAATTTGTCCACGCATCGCTGGTGCCTGAGCAAGAACTTTCGAGATTTTTTGCCGTTTTCATATAATACCACTGCTTCTAACGATCACAATCTATTCACATTGGTGTTATGCAAAGCACACCCACCTATGTCACCCTTGACCACGAGGAGACAAGTATAAAAAGTGATACATACCTTCTCTGCTTCGCAGAATTTCCTTCTTTGGCGCTCGCATCTAGCATTTTTTGGTAAACAGCAAGTAATCCATTCAGCCTCGTCAACATAGAATTGTCAGCTTTAGCGACAGATGGAGCAGGAGGTGGTGGTGCAACTGGAGCAACCGCCTCAGTTGGACTGCTCCCAACGAGACCAGATAGTTCTGCCTATAAATAACACCAGTTACACCACACAGCAAGTCATCAGACAGTAAGCAAGAAATAGATATCAATATATTCAAGTCTGAATGCAATGCGCGCAGTTTTCGCATACTTTCGACTAAAGGTTTTCTATATTGAAACTATTCGGTATGAAAAATCTACCCAGAGTGTAACCCCATCTCAGAACATGTTACATTTTCGGTTCTGGACGTGAGATATATCAAATGTGTAGATACAGGAGATCGCAATAGAGCAAGTGGCTTGAGTCACTGAACCACCCGGTAATTGGAAGAAAACGCTTTTTCAAAGACCCCGCACTGACAATGACAAAAATGAATAGACGACAGAATCTGTTCATCACGGTACCTCAATTCTGCAGAAAGTGGAACTTTTGCGGTGTGATTTTGATTATTTGACAGCGTATGTTTTGCAGCAGACCTAGTTGGACTAGAAGTGATAGAAAACGAAGCTGGCAGTCAATCGACAAAAAGCTTTCTTCGTTTGGAAAAAAAATCAGATCTTGTAGATAACTGCTTAAGCCACAATGCGCAACTCAGGCAGAAAAATGACAAGGTTATTCAAACCAAAAAAATCAAAAAATAATGGTGAAAAATGGAAGAAAGTGCCAAGCGACCCTACAACGAACTGACCAACAGATCCGGGTCATTCTCCAGTTCACTAACATCAATATCAACGTCATCTGCAAGAGCTGCTGCTAGTACAGCTGGATCAAGCCCTAAAAATAGATGTCTTCCACTTCATCCACGAATGACTACAACAAACATACCAAGACCATCAATTTTAGGCTTCGGTGGAGGTGGCGCAGCTCTGGCAGCTGGAGCAGTAGAAGCAGCACGCCTGTAACCACCATCGGATCAGGACGATGTGCAATAAAAACCGACTCGAAATTGAACAAACAGGCAAACCTTTGCTTTTCTTCCTCTTCTCGTTGTAATGCTAGTAATTCTGCAAGCAACTCTGGATCTTCTTCCACATTCCCACCATAGACTGCGCGTTCAATTTCAGAAAATTCCATGAAAACAATTTTTCGGTCACCTCTAAATCATTTCATTTATTTCCATCAATTCCTCAAAGAAAAATTCGACTAAATGACAGAAAACAATGTGGTGGAAATGAACCTGTATAAAATCTCAATACATTCATCAGATAATTTATTAAGCCTTCAAACACCACCATATACCAGTAACAATAACATTTTGTTCAACAAACAGACACTTTGTGGCAACATATCACATATTTTTGGACTGAGAAATCAGTCTAATGGAGCCTGTTGTGGGGTCAACTTCCACATCGATGCCCAGCTCCTTGAGAAGCTTCTGACGATCAATTACTCCCGAAGGCTTCTAAAACTAGGACATAGTGACACTACAAGTTGTAGATTATAACTGTCAAATGTTTAAAACAAATTTCAAGTGATTATTTGATCATTCCATAGAGAAAGAATGCGGATATGAAAATTCTGCTCAAACATTTGGGAATATATATGAACGGTGAATAGAGACACTGGCAAACTACTGGCACAAAACGTTCGTAGGAGTTTCGTAATCTCGAATGAGAGAAAAAGCGCATGATATTGGCTTGCTGAATCAATTTGGCAAAAAAAAAAAGATGCTCGTAAAATGTTTTTCTGCTATGAATAACTAAATCATTCAGCAAATCGCGACACAAAAACAGGAATTCTGTAATAAAAAAATGGTATGATGCGTACCTGATCCATTTCAAAAAGGATTTTCTGATTTTCCGGACAACCAAGGCAGAGAAAACGCAGTGCTGCTACAGACCATTGTACCTCAAATATTGCATGTGATCAATGGTAGTTAACTGGTTGTAAAGTACAAATAGTAAGTGCATCCGCAAATAGACACGATGCAGATGACAGTTTCAATATAGGAGGAGCAAGCATAAACGAGAGTGCAGACAAACTGCAACTAACATTCAGTGTTGTAGAAGTTGTGCACAAAGTCACAAGTTATGAGCATGAGTCAATGATATCGAACCAAGGCTAGTGCGACAACCGGTGTACTGACTTGATTCAGATAACAATAACATTTATATTATATTATTTTTTTTCATTTATGTATCATATGTGCAATAAATAAATAAATAACATTTGACATAGTATAGCTGTTCTCAGTGTTAGGAAATGGTAAATGGGAAAAAAATATGAAAATAAGATAAAAGAACAAACTCACAATGAAGGGCTTGTCATTATCTGTAAGCCTTGCACATCGAAGTACCGCTAAAACTGCCCCTCGGGCACCTGCTGCTAACCGAAGTGACTGCCTTTCACAACAAAGGTTGCCTGCAAAAATTTGAAGGGTTCGCTAACACAACAAAATACGCTAGCCATATCACTTTCAAAACAAACAATATAATCAAGTTGCCGCAACGCAACTGCTGATATGAGCTGATAACGAAAACAAGGGAAGACTTTGCAACCACTAAAAGGTTGAACACCCGATCAAAGTGCTCAGAGCAGAATTGCGAAATAACATACTGTTTGCTTAGACTGCATCACATAGACTGTACTACTCACCGATAGCTCGCACAGCGGCACACTTTAGAGTAGCCCTCAGTTCCATCGGTGACTCATGCACTGCAGTTGAGAGAGCGGCCAACCGTGGAGAGTCCTGTACCCGGCTACACCGGACTTCCACTTGTTTCTGTGGTCTATCGGGATGGACAGGTTGTTTTTGATGCGTTCGCTCTTCATTCTCGTCTATCCACTGAGCATCGAGCACCTAAATACCATTCCTGACAGAAAAACATCTTGGCACATAGAACAGGTGAACATAATATCACCGAATACACGAAAATCAATGAAACGGAATTATAATGAAGACAAATTCTATTCGGTATCAAGAAACAAGATATTTCAAGAAAACAATCGAAAAAATTATAAGGAGTGAATACTGAAGAAAGATTAACGTACGCATTCTAGAATATCCACAATATTCTCTATGGCAGTCGGCCGATCCAGCACTTGGGCACCATAATCATCTTCTTTCAAGGCAGCAGAGGCTGAAAGAGCTCAACTACCCTTGCATAACCTGGTAAAACTCATCTCTTACCTAAGATTTCTATACTATAAGCAATTTGTTCGACATATGCCGACTTCCGCTCGGATGATAACTCCTCACCAAAGTCATATAAGGCTCGTTCCAGCAAATGGACGCAAAATAAGATATTATTTGGATGTACCTAAAGGAAGCAGTAGATACTTGACCATGGACAATAAAAAACGCTTTAGGAAAAGGAAAAAGGGTTAGGGATTAAGGGTTAGTTGAAGCTATGCTAGACATCACGATATGAATACATCCAGGACAAAAAAACAAGTGGGTGGACTTCGATAGCAAAAGAAAGTAATAAGAAAAAAAAAACAGCGTGAGCGAAAAAGAAACTCTACCTTTGACGCAGTTCCATCATGGCTAGAGTCCATCAGCACCTCGGTGACGTGAAGAAGAGCAGTAAATTCATCGCTTGAAACATCAGCAAAACAGCTGGAGAGAAAACCAAAGTCCTGCATGTGGCTATGAAATGGAAAAGTGCAGATGATTATTTCATCTGACTTACCTCTTCCAAATGAATCGATATCAAAGCCGATAACCAAGATCTATCAGAATCGCTTACTTCTTGAGACTCCCACAATAAGAACACCTCGCCAAGTAATTTCGGATATGAATCATCAAGCCCACAAGCTATAAGAACAGCATTATTGAGTGTGCCTCAAATAACACGACATACCAATCCTCATAGATCTACTGAGCGCAACAAGAGCGGCGAAAGTCTCTGTGCGAAGTTCAGAAACTCGCAACAGAGCTCGGAATAAAGGTAGGCAATCTGAAGTGACTCCTTCTGCGAATCTTAAACGAAAGGGAGAAGATAAAAACGAAAACATTTTCGTAGCATCGAAAGCAGCTTTGAATTTATCATTAACCCTACTTTTTGCTGTGATTCGCAGCGTTGACGAGAGTGCGAAGTGCTAGACGTGCCCGTCGTACATCTACGATGCCATCGTCGTCATCACTTCGCCCTTCTAGCGACACATTGAGTAAACCCAACAACGATGATTTGAGATCCTATAAAGTGTCGACTCATATCGTTAGATGAGATCTTTTGCATGACTATATCATTCTAGTCATTTCCGCAAAAAGTGAAGACCTTTAAATGTTGTTCATACGTATTACGTGGTTGATCCCTACAACTGAAACATCCCCTTTGGAGATTCATCCCAACCAAAAAAGGTCTTTAATGACGATTCAAGTTAATCATGATAGAAACAAAAATCTGTGTCGTGATAAAGACACGACCCGAACTTAACTTTTTGTCTCGATTTGTTTACATTTGATTATGTTACTCATTTCTGGCACAGAGAGCCTGCCACATGGCTGACTCTTTGTGCTCGTCGGCCAGCCTCCTCTGGCCGACGTTCCGTCAGTGCTATATTTGTCGTGTACCGGAGATACCGGGTTATTTTGCTGCTGAATAAAACCATCTAATCCCTCTAGTGTTGAGGGGCACGAAAAAGGCAAAAAGAATCCCACTGAACCACCACAATTTGCAAGGTTCCGGCGCATGATAAGCTGTGCGGGCTTCCACTCGGCTGAGTACGTCAGTTCCCAACGAAAGGGATTTCTTTCCAAAATTTCATTGTACATGGAATTCCATGAAATGCAAAACTTTTACCATAAACATCAGTGAACACTCGCCTGCACTCGTTCCACCGCCTCGATCGATTGATTATCAGTAGCACAGAATCGACATGCTTTGGAAAGATCTTCCGTAGAAGCTTCTGTTGGATTGCCAAACACTCGCTCTACAGCGCTATATAAGTCAGAGATGTCCAACATACAACCGCTCTTCTAGAACCATCACTATGCATTTGTCACTGTATGAACATACGATTTCGATAGACGTGCTAAACACTGTGAAGCAACGTGTACAAGACTTATTCATACTTTTATTCGAAATCTTTGGTAGATGTCACTAAGATCAATTCGTCTATGACTTTACAAATGTGATCATGGTTAACAGAGCAAGTAAACGAACTAAACGGACAGTAACAGAATATGAACATATTATCTACACGACCTATGCAAGCAAAGACCGGACTAGGCAAATCAGAAGCTAGAACAAATACATGAAATCATTCAGCAGCTGTTTGATAAAACCGCAAAAGCGATTCGAAATCAGATTTTGCAATAACCTTCTCGAAGACTTTCACGTTCTTAAAATGTCCTTCTTGAATTTCCTGAAATGGGAATACGATAACAAAAGACCTCGGACAGCAACAGAATGCACTTACCTTTATAAATCTGAGCACATGCTTCTCACTCAGCTCCTCTAACAAAAGTTGAACAGCCGAACGATTTCCATAAGTCATTGATATGACAGCAGAGAAGAATAAGACTTTTAAGGACAACCTAGTGAGATAAAATACTGGAAGCGATGCAGTTACAGAAAGTAACGAGCGATGACCGCCGAGCACGCACGAAATCTAGAAATAACTGGTTAGATCTATATTTTGCTAAAAGAATCTAAGCGAGATGAATACCTATTGGGCCGCCGATGATAAAATCGTAGATATCATTAAAATGTAGAGAAAAACAAATTTTTTTTACTTACCTGATGAGATAGAGTAAATGATGCATATCGAGAAATTAGCTCCAACGCTGATGGAGCCAGCTTTGACATTCCACTCGTAGATGACGCATTGGAAGCAGCTTCCTTTTCAGTAGATCTAATTACGTGACCAAGAAGAAGGAGCAATCGGAGACTCCGCTCAGCGGAATCTAATAGCACCTAAAAATTGGACAAAAAGTGTAACCCAGACACTATGTGCAAGCAGTGTAGCAATACCTTCCGACAGCTATCCTCTCTGCTTAAGCGCTCAGAAAGGCTAATAGCAGCCTCAGTGTAAAGTTCCGCATTACTGTTATCTGCTTTGTGCTCTTCCAGTGGTGATGACTGTGACCGAACGGCGGATACGGCTACTTTCAAAACACAGCCACAAAATGCCGATGCGATAGCAGTTCTAAAATTATCAGAGTTACCGCGTGCAACGAAAAGAGGAACAAGAAGAAACGTACGTATCCTCACTGACTACATCAGCAAAAACAGAGTGAAGAGTGTTGAGTTTGATAAAAAGTTCTTGTGACATGGCTGGAGTCACAATAGTATCGAGAACCGAAGGCAACCGGCAAGATAACAGATAGCTGAAAAACGAGCTAGAAGGTTGGTAACTCAAATTTCAAAGAAAAAATTTTTGAGCAGTTATAGTGAGTTGTATGTATGTGTGCATCTTGATTTCGATAAACTTACATGGTAGTGCTAAGCAATCAAAAGCCTAAGAAAACACTTCAAACAAATGAAAAAAGAAATGAAGTCAGATTTACAAATCACTCAAATTAAGCACCTGGATAACATGCTGATGCGAACTTCTAGCTCGTGCTCGTCCACCTTGAAGACCTTCCATTCTGTCGCAGAGGACCTAGCACAACCAATAGCCGCCAATAAGACATCAAGTAGACATACTGAGTGGTCCGAGTCACATTCACTCTGGAATTTAGGAGTGACTGATGAATAACTTAGCAGGAACTAATCACCTTCAGTAGGACAATGATATTATCAATCAGATCCACAATTACATGGGTGAAGAGAATGGACCGACAGAATGATGGAGCAGAGCAAAATCGACAAATAAGTGCAGCTAATTTTCTGAGCAATCTGGAAAAAAACATTAGGTAAAACGCTCTAAATTGAAAGATTTATATACCGAATACTAGCTCCTGTCGTTGTCCACTTCATCATCAAATTGACCAAGTCACAAAGTAGGGTGGAGTCATTACACGATTTTACGTTGGCCGCGTACCATTCCTTCAAGAAATGGTGTCGCATAAGTAAAAACCAGGATTCATAATTACTTGTGACTGCGCCTCTCTTGAGACCTCACTCAATGACCTATCCAACACCTGCAGGGTCGTATCATCAAGCCTGCCTGGCTTCTGACATTTTGCAGTCACATTCATCAGATCTCGAAGGCATTTAGGATGACGACCGGGAGATGGTGGCGTCTCATTCAACTCAGCAACTTTTTTGTTCCTACAAAGAAAATTTGGCAAACAAAAACAATATGTAATCCAGCAGTTCACCTCACAGCCAGCCTTTGCTTGACCTTCGCCCTTTTCTTCCTGAATGCTGCTTCATCTTCCTGATTCTCAACAACAGTTTCCACGCTAGTGCTCTGATTCAGCGCACAAAATTCTCTCTCCTGCAAAAATCAGATAAGAAAACTAATTGCCAAAATTACAGTCTTACAAGATCATCAGTCGATAACTGCAATAAGTCAAGCTTGGTCTTGGAAAGATGCTTTTCCGACATAACATGAGCAACTGCATTGAGTTCTGTGCGCATCTGAAAGAATAAACCTTCTTTGAAATGCAGAAATGGCAAAAGGAGAGATCAAAAAAAATCAAAATGCCCTGATCGCATGCATCCAAACAATGTTCACTAATCTTATATATAAAGCTGAATGTCTGTCTGTCTGTCTGTATGTATGTATGTATGTCTGTACGTATGTGCGGAATAGAAATTTTTATTTCTGAACCGATCGGGACCAAACTTGGCACACATATACTTCGGGGCAGGGAGCGTGTCATAGGCTACTTTTCGTTATCGATCGATATCGATTTTATCGATTTTTTTGCAGAGTTCACCTACGGGGCTGGGAGTTGGCACAGGGGGGTAAGTGAGCATGGGGATTCCGAATACAATATTGGTTTTCAGGATTATCGATTACTTTTATCGATTTTATCGATTTTTTTGCAAAGTTTGAGCTACGGGGCTGGGAGTTGGCACAGGGGGGTAATCGAGCATGGGGATTCCGAATACAATATTGGTTTTCTGGATTATCGATTACTTTTATCGATTTTATCGATTTTTTTGCAAAGTGAGCTACGGGGCTGGGAGTTCGCACAGGGGGGTAATCGAGCATGGGGATTCCGAATACAATATTGGTTTTCGGGATTATCGATTACTTCGGGGTGATCAGCATGCTCGATTACCCCCCTCTGCCAAATCCCAGCCCTCTAGCTCGAATTTTGCAAAAAATCAATAAAATCGACATCGATCGATAACGAAAAGTGGGCTATGACACGCTCCCTGCCCCGAAGTGTATGTGTGCAAAGTTCGGTCCCAATCGGTTCAGAAATAAAAATTTCTATTCGGAACATACGTACACGGGTCTAGCTGGCAGGCCCGGCGGAGCCGGGCAAGCCAGCTAGTGTAAAACTATAAGCGGCGATCTAATCACATCGTTGAGCTCTCAAAGCAAAAGGACCATAGTTTTGAATGGAGTCAATAAATGGCAATTCCCGAGGTGAGCGACTTACCTCGCTAGTGCAATTACTGCAGGTGAATGTTATTCCAGCTAGATCCGACGGCCAATGGCAGCAATCAACAAACGACCACATCCACCGACAACCAGATGGAGGTCGTGGAGACGAAAATTCTTGTGCGCGCACCCGTACTTCCTCTAGGGTTTGCTCATGACGACGGGATGACGACTCAATCTAGAACACCAAATCATGATTTTGCAAGGAAAAACAGATCACACTTTACCTTTTCCTGAATGCGTTTTCTAAGAGACTCATTTTCTTCGGCATCTGCCAAACGTAGCTCGCTCAACTTCTCTTGCTGCTGTTTGCGCCTCTCATTGCGCAACCTTTCCTGCTCATTTTTTTGAGCAGCAATTTGAGCATGACGTGCCTCTTTTCGCTCAGCAAGCTCTTGCAAGCGGGCTATTCGCTCCTACAAAACAATTCTAGCAAAATTATACTACAAATTACAAACGGAAAAATCATTGGAGGGAAACTAATTGAGTCAAAAACTTACCATTTCTGCCTGTTTTCGCCTTTCCTCAGCAGCATGTTCTTTTGCCGCTTTCTCTTCCATTCTCTTAGCTCGTTCTTCTGCTAGAGTTTGCTTGCGTTCTTCGACTCCCGCGTCCCTCATCCGCAAATCCAACAACATGTTTCCACCTTGCAAAGAGTTGATAAATTGTACTTCTAGTACCTAAAATAAAGTATTTGAGCTAGATAGATTATACCCAAGAAACACAAATGCAAAACAAAACATAATGCTTTATCTGTTACCTTCTGTTCGTCATCCTTCGCACGACGTATGATTTCCGTAATATTCTTCTCGCGATTTTCTTGTGCTCTCTCCATACGACTTTCTAGCAACTGCCTTTTTCTTTCGATGACTTTCTGGCGCTTTTCACGCACCTCTTCTACCTAGAGAAAAACCTCTCTGGGAAATTGCATGGAAAATAGAGACGTACCCTTCGAGCAAGCTCTCTCAACCGAGCGGTCTTTTCGGCCTGAAGCTGTTCTCTCAGTTCAGTAGCTCGTCGCAGTTTCTCAGCATGACGAGAAGAGAAATCGGCGTCGTCTTTTTCGCATCTATTTCAACATATCAGCTTACATATGACAGAAAAAGCAGCTTTGCCAAGATCTTCAATAAAAATATTAGAGGTACCTTCTGCGACTAGGGCTGCTCATCTTTTCATGACGTTCAGCTACCGTACCCGGCTCACGATAAGCAGAAAACTCTCTATTCCCAACGACTTCGCTCCACGTCAAGACGTGACGACGACGAACGTCTTCTAAACATTTTTGTTATCATCAATGTGATGACTCAAAGGCAAGCGGTTCCTACCACGACTTTGATCAGGATCTGCTGCTTGGCCTGAATTTGCTCCTAGACTGCTTGACTTGTCCTCAATTGCATAATATTGGAGATGTAAGCAAGCAAAAAGGATGAAAAGACAGAAAATTACTGAGCCAAAGGTCTTACCTTATTTGGAAAGGCAGTCTTCTGTGAAAGCTCAAACTTCTCAAGCGCCTCTGCCTCTGCTGCAACTTGACGTTCTAATTCAACATCGATTGAAAATGATTCCTCCTAAAAAGTAAACATGACTCACTAACAAAAACTATGAAAGGGCTCACATGTTCTATCTCAAGATTGAGGCTATGTTCTTCCAAAGCGAGAGATTCTTCCTCTTCAGTCATTTCCTTCCATTCTACATCATCATCCAATCCAAGTAAAGAAGAAACTTCATTGAAAGCTGGCTCTGATCTGGAATGAACGTATTTCTGACTAAATGATTGATTAGAGGCTGGGATAATTAAAAGGGTTTACCTGGTAGAAGAAAACCGGACATTGTCCTTCGACGGATCAGTGGGGGTCGGATCTGCCGGTACTGTTTCCATTTCATCTCCTTCCGCAACTTCATTGATCGACTGCAAAGAACGATCCACAGAAGGATTTCGTTCACTTACGGGAGCGCTATTGCCTTGACGACGCTAGAAAACTAGGATTTTTTAGCAAAAGTCTGAATGAATAGATGTAATTGCAAGCACCTGGCAAAATGAGTTGGCGGCATTCTGGGCCGAAGGACGATCAGCAAAATGTATACCACAACGCGTTGGACCTGTTCTTCTTCTTTGCCTATCTACTCGATCCATTCGTTGTTTAGCGCGCAACTTTTCCGCTAGTAAAGACTGATTACGTTCCCACAGTAATTGTCTGCTATAAGCCATTTTCGCCATAGAAGCCTAAACTTTCAGTATGGGTGAGCTTCATCACAACAAAAGTAGAGTCTTACCTTGGTTTGTGGAAGATCCATTGCACTGCGAGGGCAGGTAAGCCGAGCTTGCTGAGAAACAAGCGATGATCGCAGTACAGGACGAGATGAGGCTGCAGCAGCATTAATGACCGAAGGAGAATTTGTCCGTCTTGGTGCAGAAAGGCGATCGTACACATTCGGGCGTGGAGGCTTGAAAAAATAACCATTTAACAGACGAACTAAACTCGACAAATATGCAGTGTTTTATCAATACTCACCTCGACTTCTGGCTGTTGCTGTGGAGATGGTGTGGTACTAACTGGATCAGGATGAGTTATGACCTCACTGGATGAACTCGTACTTCTCCTACGACGCGGCAGTACGACTTGCCATTCATCGTCAAGAGACACTGAAAGAAGGGTGAATTCAGATAAAACGAAAAATGAATGGATCTGGAGTTCCGCTTTGCTTTACTTTGGTGAGGTAGGTGTGATTTTTGCACAAAGCGTTAGCAATGAACAAATACGTTACAATTGTCTGCGCCGAAAAACTTCCGAAAAAAGATCAAGCATGGATCCATGGAGTTTTAACTCGAACATTCAGTTAGGTACATGAGTTCGAGAACATGTCAGTCAAAACCAGAAAACACGTTTCACTCCCTGTCCAAAAATACTGACTGCGTTACTTCCAAGACCAGCAATGCTTAAAATATGGAAGCCAAGATAAAGATCGAAGAGATAGAGACGTTGACTCACGCCGAATGGCTTCCTTGAGGTCTTCATCGTCTCCATCCTGAGAATTGTTTGGAGTGTCTTTCAGCAACAGTCTGTAAGTGTGTTTGAATGAGTAAAGTTGCTAAAATAAGGTAAAATGGCTCACGGAGGTAGCGTATCGAGTGGGACGTCGACGGGAGATCGTGTCGATTTGCGAATCTCCCAAGCAACAGCTTGTGGTCTACAAAAAAAACTTCCAATAACACAGTTGATAAAGAAAAAGATAAGAAATGCAGCTGTCAACCTGCTTGACTCATCCCACGTGGTCTCCACTTTGATAGTGTTGATGAGTGATTCAAAGTCTCGTTTCGAATTTTCTAGATAGATAATGGCCTCCTAGAAGGGAAAATCAATTAGAGAAAAGGAAAGCACACAATGTTATGGAGTGCACACACCTTACAACCGTTGATGTTATGATCAGAGCGGCAGATCTCGTAAAGGCAATCGACAGTTCTCTTGAACGATTCCACGTAGTAGGCCCACTGTTGCCCTCTTTTCCGCCTGTATGATGTTAATCCCCTCTTTTACACCATAATGAGCACATAAGTGCAACAAAACCGATGGCGTAATCATTAAATTCCACAAGAAAAGTGCTTGGATAAATCACTCACTTCGCCCTCTTTCTCTTCGAGGATTTGACCACCAATGCTGCAGGATTTCCAGACACTTCAGAAGAATCCTGCATCACCTCAACACCAATGCCATGCCCACTAAGTGACTCAGCGAGCAGTCACGAAAAAAACTGAATAAATATTTACATGCACTTTAGACTCTATTTCACTAACTACAATTAAACAAATGATACAGTCAAAAGAGTCAAGATGCACGCATAAGTAAGGAATCAGGAAGTAGAGTGCAAATGAGTCATATCAGTTCTCGAAAACTACTTCGTTGACAAAAACAAATCCCAATTCCGACAACACTCACGTATCAGCTGATACCGTAACTACGGACTTTTCATGATACCGCCTGAAATAATTCGCTAAATGAGATCATTCGTTTACTAATGGCGCGTACGAGCAGCTGTGGTAAAAACTGAAGGAAGATTTATAAGTACAAATCGCCTTTGAAACGAAAATCGCAAACATATTAATGATGTGTTCACCGACACGCATTAGGCAGATTTTCTAGTTTTTGATAAGTGAACACTATCGAGACTCTTGTTGAGGAAAACTTATAATACCAGGTGAACCACGTCCGCATGCGCCCAACCTTGGCTTTGCAAACGAGAGATCGAAAAGATTGAGGAGACGCAGTCTTGAACCCCACCATAGTAGGGCGAAGCTGCATCAGAATGCTGCGCAAGGGTAAGCGTCGATCTCAGTTTTGGTCTGCTCCGGTCCAATTAGACTGTGTATGGTCGTCTCCACGATTCGTGTAGAGGCGGGTTGCGGACTGTCCCTGATTCTAAGGATGAACTTGTTAAACCTCCAAGTCATAGCACTTTTTTCGTACTCTCTCGCTATCAAAAACCGCCACGCTTTGAGTTGGCAAAACCCCGCCTTTACACGAATCGTAGAGTCGATGATAGATGTTCTTATAATATCAAGAAACTATTAAACAAAAGTGGATGCCCATATCAGGTATTGTCTACTCAGCAGTTGCTTCTACCCGTTATGCGTCTCTAAGTTGAGAACGCACAGCTAACATGTTTGCAACATGCAACAACATGCTAGCAACAATGTTTTGCTTGTCAGCCTTGGGATCGACATGTCGTTGCATGTTTCCAACTTGTTAGCTTCGTGCTGCAGGCTAGAGACGCAAAGGCGGCGTAACCTATGATCTGGCTTGGCGGCTGGAAGGCGGGGCTTTGTGAACTAAAAGGCCGCTCGCGCCCGCAACGCAGTCTGCGCTGTCGCGCGCTTGCTCTCTGATCATTATTAGCCTTAATTAGGTCACGAAGCCCCGCCTTCCAACTGCCAAGCCATTTGAATCAAAGAGTACCATCAATCGCGGAGTGTGTCGCGGATTCGCGACTTCCTTCAAAAGAGGCCGCCGCGCTGCGAAGGGGTCTCGAAACGCTGTCCTCGCGCCGCTCCCGCCTTCCCACCACTACTGCCGGGGTAGAGGACTATATGTCGCCGAAAAAGGGCGGTCCCCGCGGTCATTTGCGACAAATACGCACCCTTATACATGCGCGGACATGCGTTCCTGCAGGGAATCAGCGCGGGACTCTTCCAAATTCGGCGACATGTAGTCCTCCACGCAGCTTTCAAATCCGTCGTCAATTTCGTTACCTGGTGAGCGGTTGGGTCCCAGTTTCGTCTTCACACGTGTCGATGCAGCGCCGTCCCAACTCACGCGTCTTCTATATCCAGCACGCCACGGAGGACAGGCAACCCCGCAGACGAGGTAACCCCGTGAGCACTCGCGCCTGGCACGCGCCGGCGACACCGCCACGGGGGTTTCCGATATTGTCGGCCTCTAGGATAAGATAAGATCTGGCTGGTTGTGCTCAGCCCTTGTGTTTGAGTTTAGGGAACAGTTGTGGATAAATGGTGGGCATTGTACATGTGTGATTTGTCTGGTGCGGTGAGCCTCAGCTTGACTGAGGCTCCGGGGATATCTAGTGTCATCAATGTTCATGTGTATCTTATCTCGCCTCGTGGGATAGATCTGTTAGAAGGCAGGCACGATTCTAGATAGTGCCTTGCTTATAAGTACCATGCCCCAACTGTCGATAGTTGCGAGTACAAGTCGAGACGCAGGTGTCGAGTAACTGCTAAGTAGGCTGGTGGCAAGGGCCTCTATGTGTGCATGACATGTCATGTGGCAGGCGGAATTCGCATTCTCACAGGTAACGCCACCACAATATACACTACATCTTATCCCGGATGGGACCCCTGGCTCCCCTCGCCGATGCAGGAGAGCCACGATACCACTGACGTTGGGAGCTGGAGGCCCAGTCCGCGACAGAGTGGACGATACGTGCAGGCGTTAGCGCAAGGAGGCTCGGCCACGCGTTATGTCGCCCAGCGGCCATACGTGCTCGGGCACTGCGTTCGCGCCTGTCCGCAACAATAAACCATCTGCCGTCGTCTGGAATTAGCCTTCGCACGTGTGCACCGTTGATCTCTCAAAATGGACTTTGAAGTATTAGGTTGCTGCATAAGTTCTGTCCGTTTGAATTTTTTGAGTTCAAAATGTCATAACTTCCTCCAAAGTCAAATTTTTTCCAAGATATCAATTTCCATGTTTTGAGCAGTCTTTTGGCTACCAAACACACATTGACACTTGCGAAAATCCTAGTTAAGGAAGAAGCAAGAACTCAAAGACTTCACAGCGTTTTTCTTCAAACCTGTCTTTTTTGACATGGGAAAGCTCCCTTATGAGAATTGATAAACATCTTATCTAGCAATGCATGAATAGGGAAATTTTCGTAGATTATTTTGCGACATTAAAGAGCCCATAGGGTCTGCGCTGCTAAGAGATTTTTCCGACCGGGCAAGAAAGAAGCCGCTTTTTGACTTCGCGTCAGCGCATGTGTGCATGCCTATTTACTAATTATGAAAATTTTACAGTTGACGTGAGCGCCGAAAAGAAGTTGGTGGATGGGCCCTGCTAGCTCTTGCTTTACCCTAGCACCTCCAACTTTAAGTCATCGATTACTCCTGTTCGCAGAAAGTTATTGCTTGTAAAACATTTTTACAAAAATTAATGTTTGACGGTAAATTCTACTAGCAAGACGTTTCCTTCATGGAACTGAGCTTCTGCATAGACTAACCTTCTGCACACTTATTCCGCGACCAATGCAAGAACTTGACTTGGAGGGCGCAGTGGAAATTTCCTCGCAAGAACATATTTCTAGGGTGAGAACGTACCTAGGCCACTTGGAGATTTTAGGCCTGAAATCTCCTTACACCAAGAAACTTGTTGAAATTTGATATGCATTAGAAAGAACAAGAAAAGCACTTTCTAATGATACTAACAATACGCATTAGGTATGAAATTTTCTTAGGACAGCTGCTCTAAATATAAGGCAAAAAATCGGATAGAACTTATACAGCAGCCTAATAGAAGCTTTTCAGAAGTACAGAGAAACTGCAGTTGCAGAGAGGCTTGTCAGATGTGGACTACATTTGTAGAAATAACAACATTTGACTTCGAATCTTACAAGGGAAGCGTCTTTAGTCGAAATGGCCTCTTCAAATAAATTCTATACCGTTTTGAAAAGCCTTAAACGCTGGTTCCAAATCTGTTTTCGCTATCTGCCAAGCACCCCTGGGCGCCGAGTTATGAGTGTTTTTTAGAGCAAAAAATGAACGCATAATCTATGTAAAAACGGTAATTACAATATTTCCTGCGCTTAAATAAAGCACTGTTGAATATAAGGGTATTAGACAGAAGGTATTTATCAAGTGAAGAATGGACACCTGACCATTTGAGTAGTCTTGGACGATTTTCTTCCAGTTGTGCATTCAGTTTTTCGACTCAAAAAAATGCCCACAACTCGGCCTCCAGAGGCGCATGGCAGATATGGAAGACGGATTTGGAATCACCATTCAATGCTCTATAAAGTGATATAGGTGCCATGTGGAAAGACCACTTCGACTGAAGGCGCTTCCCTTGTTAGATGATTCAGAATGTATGGTGATGAGAAATCATCATGAAAAAAAGCAACTAATGTGAAAGCGATGCATCGCACTTGTCAACATGACATGTTTACTATCCTCACATGCTTGAGTCGTAAAAAATAGTGTTTGACATGTCACTGAAACTATCATAGATTTTGAGACTAAGAGACTCGAAACCGCTTTGCGCACATTGTCTGAACATGCTCAAACTTGTTTTCCCCTGTTTTTAAGCAGTGAGTAACGTTAGATGAGATAAACTACTACTTCCTCGCTTGTTTAGAGCATGTGTGCAGGGAATGCTCTGAGTCTCCTACTCAGAATAAATATTAGATTTTGATTTTCCACTACGAATATCTATACGAATGTCATGAAATCAATTGGACCGAACAAGTTCGCATTAAATCCGAACAAGGTTGAGTCGAAGCCGCAGTGCTCTTTGAAAGAAAGAAGTGTAGCTCCATAGCAACAAGCTATAGCTATAGTTATAACTGCGTTCACATAACAGTGTACAACATCCTGCAGAAATTCTAAACTAGTGTTACAGCAATTTCGGCGAGTGAAGGATGTTTTCGCTGAAAAAATTAGAAGAAGGATCGAAGTCGAAGTACACAGCGCGAAGACGTGTATGAAAATTTCCACATTGCTTTCTAAAGCCTGAACATTTGCTGCTAATGTGCTTCTTTTTCTTTTATTAAATTTCGAAACGCAGACCCTTGGAAAGGGCTGGTTGTACGGGTCCGGTAAGGTGATACTGCTTGGGAATTACGGTAGGTTTACTGTAAAACAATGACCAATAACTAATGCGTTCGAAATGATGCGAATTCAGAAGAATTACGCGAACACATCAGTAGGGCGGAGACACACATTCGAGTTCTATTTTGAAAAAAGTCCTTTTTCGCTAGAGTGACAAATGTTTTGCAGATTTCACCGGCAGTTACGATGCAGAATCGAGTAAAGAAGAGGGTTGCGGCATAATAATCTTGGCGAGACTTCCGAATCCGTAACTTGGTTCAAGATGAATTTGATGAGAGAGGACGATTTCTGGAAAGCCAGTGATACAAGAATATGGAAACCATCAAACGTTATAGATTTACTTTCATTGAAACAGTTTTCAATGAGAAGAAAATCGCGATAAAAGTCTCACATGCTCAAAATCCAAGAAAAATTCAATTCATCACATTCCTAGTTTGTTTATCGAATAGACCGGGACTGGAAAACTTATCTGAACAGTGAGTAGAAGTCATGGGGTGCGACGG